ATTGACTTATGACGCTTGCGCAACTGTATTTTTGACTAATTAAGCGCGTCTTGGATTTTCGGCAATGCGAGCAATGCATTTTTCCGTATCGAAGTATATATTTTTGCCAGTTCGAATAGCCAATGATATTCTTGGCCTTTATTACTATTGTCGAGAAAATTGATGAAAATAGATTGTATTGGATTTTGTATTCATTGTGCTTACGAATTATTAAAGAAAAATCATAATGAATAATTTGTCCATTAATTATCGTTCTACGAGTAACAAATGGTTTTCACGATTAATTTACCAAAGCGTATACTCATTAAATACAGATTCTCTTGAATCTACGCACAATCTTTCGTTACTTCCATTTTCTTATAGCCATGATAATGGCAATAATTTTTAACAAGCATTTTTTTTTTTTTTTTTTTTTTTTTTTTTATAAGAATATTACATTTACAATTAATTGAGAGAGATCTTACACAACTAATACTCTGATAATCTATAAATTTTAATATTACATATTCAAGGTTAAATATTAAAATTTTAAATATTAAATACTGAATTAAATACCGAAAGAAACAACGTTCATTGTTTCAAAGAAACAAATAAACGAATAAAGGTAAACTAGCATTGGCCATGCATTCAACGTTCTATTTCATGGACTAGGTGAACATTAAAAAATATCCGTAATTTCATACGCATCGGTCTCGCGTCTCAATAGCCGCGCGCAATCTTCGAACGCCAAGTAAATTTTTCCGCATGTGCAAATTTAGTATCTTAGCATTTTAGATAAAGTATCTTATAAATATTAATATCATTAAAGGAATAAAGTGAATAAGAATAAGGAGAAACGATGCTAATGGTAATAGAGTCAGCTGAATCAATAATTAATACAGGACATAAGTATGGTCAAGCTATCGATCCTCTCCCATTTTATCATTCGTCAATCATTAGGGATGAATCAGCGTCATGCCGAGCGATGACAAACGCCAATAACCTCTGGGTATAGAAAGAGGTACGGTTTGACGTCGATGTGACGGTAAAGAAGAGCATCGCCATAAGGCACTTTGCTCGTGATTTCTCGTCGATGCTTTTACCCGTCGTCTTTCGCATCGATTTTCCCGGTTTCCAGGTACGTTTGTCCCATCGGTCGCAGCGACTCGCCAACCTTCCCCTCGCGTTTCCGATTCCCACGATCCAATTCTGCTATCTCCCACCCTCCCTTCGTCACCAATCCCCCCTCCCCCCTCCCCCTCCCCCTCAAACCCTCCCTCCCCACAATCCTCCCTGCCAGGTCTCCTGCCCGCTCTGCCAATCATATCATCATCCTCAGCTTTTCTCGAAAGCCCGTTCGAGATGCGCGGCCCGTGCCATTAACCTCTCGCCTCTTCCGTTCTAGCTTTCCGCTGGTCGGGCAACTGTTTTTAGGCATAGGAATCGGGGGCCGCAGCTGTCGACTGACATTTTAATCAAGCTGTCCCGTCAACTCAGCGCCCGACTTTCTCGGCCTCCTTACCGCGAGAATGTTCTCCGAGTGTCATCCGAGCGGCTCGGCAATGCTAATCCAAGCCCTGGCATTTCCGACTCGAGTTCGTTGGCGCCGAGGGCACGACATCTTCCGAGATGTCCAACGGCATTTGAGCGCCCCGTGACGATGTACTCTTGCCGTCACGGTCAGTTGACGGCCAATTAACGCGGGTGACTCGACGCGAGTCCCGGTTCAACGAGGTCGCGATTTACGATGGCCATTTTAGCCCTGCACGGCCCCGTCGTTATTATATTATTTTTTTTCACTCGTTTTCCGAGGCTCGACACGTCCCGCTATTTAGCCATTCAGCGCGTGGGCACTCGTACTAATACCCCCTCTCCCCCCCCCTCCCCGCCCCCGCAAATCCAATACCCCAACACCCGGTACCACAGTACCACGTCCCCATCCTCGTCCCCATCCTCGTCCCCATCCTCGTTTTCGTCCTCCAACGAGAACGGGACACGACGACCGGATACGCGTTGTCCTGTCGTGATGCGTGTCCTGGCGACCTTTTGTCGGCGAATAATCGGCGAGCGGCGCTTGTACCGTTGACAGTCGGCTTTTCCATACCGACGGAGCCATACTTTATTTTTCTATCGTTCGCTCGACTTCCATTCTATCAATGCGATTTCATAGCGCTTCCTTATTGCAGTCCAGGGCCCTTCTCTTATTGTCCTCGTCGATGGGATGGATGAGAATATTGTCGCTAGCGGCACAATCACCGTTTCCGTCCTCCCATTGTCCAATTTCCGCTTAAAGCATAATTCTTACGTGGAATGCGTTATTTACGTGGATAACATTGGAGGTGGCGAGTTCCGAGCTCAGGCATAAAATATAAAATTACTCGATCTCAACTCGATCGAAATATAATTCGTACCGACTGTACAATCGTACTTATTCCCGAACTATTTGTACGCCAAGTGCCGTTAAAGTATCGCGAGAGGCGATTTTACATTTAACGATGTACGTTTGCCTACGTTTACGAACGATGGCATCGATAAGCATTTTAGAATAGTCTAATGAAAATCACGGGCACATTGCATTTATTAAAACTTTAAATTCAAATTCAAATTATTTAATGATGAATCTTTAGGAAATATAATTGGCCGATCGCAATTCGTAAATTGTGCTCTTCACGCCAAAAGTGAGCCGAGAGTTTGCTTTAGAAATTTAACGATAAAGGAGCGCAGCCTTTCCTTACCAACAATTTAGACGAATATTATTAATAAATTAATACATCTACTTACCTACCTCCTGCATATTTCACTTATATTTTAAGCTGTCGACGATAGCTATAAGTGGCCATAAGTGTAGAATGTCGATTACTCATGCGATTGATCTAAAATATACATTAGCATAATAATATCCCTGCAGCAATACTAATGAGGAAAGTAAAGGGAGCATTGAACAAAAAAAAAAAAAAAAAAAAAAAAAAAAAAAAAAAAGAAACTTGCGAAGCCTTATGAATCACGCGTGAAGCTACAGCCTGACACGCGAAAAAAAAAGAAAAAAGTCTTGACTTACAATACGTGCTCGGTTAAGCCAAGTCGCTCCTCGCCTCCTTCGTTATTTCAACGCTCGTGACGACATTGCGAGGGCCCGTGCATTAACTGCTTAGTGCCGGCGCTTTTCGCGTCAGTGTGCACCGGGACCATGGGCTCTTGTCTTCGCTCGGCCAGTCACAATCGAGGCAAGTTAAATCAAGACACTTTTAACGCTAGGTCGTGGAAATTTTACCCGCCACCATCGCCGTCACCCCCATCGACTCCCGTCGTCTCGAATGGTCGCTCGTGGTGAAGGGTGATCGAGGGTGGACTCGCTCGATTTCGAGCGACACTTCTCGAAACGACGACGTCAATGATGAAGGGGGTGGGAAATTTAGAGAGGGTTTCGTGTGTTAGGTGGACGGGGGTGGGGGGGGGGGCATCATTATCCCATCGGAATTATTATGTTTTGGCGAGCGTAAGCGGGACCGTATGGTGTCTCTGTGTCGCTTTCGTGCGTGAATACGTAATGGCCTCCGCGGTGCAGTTACAATTAGCGGTAAAGTTTCGTGGCGATTGTAAGAGTGTTTATTGAGAATTGGAAGCACGTGTCGATCAATAGTTTCATGGCTTACTTTCAGGCTGCCATTTCAATTAGTTCAATATCATCCATTTGAGAAAAATGAAAAGAAAAAGAAAAAGAAAAAAGTAAACACAAAGAGAGAGAGAGAGAGAGAGAGGGGTTTTCATAACGGGATGGCTTACGTACTTAATTAATACGATTATCACTTAATCGTATTAATGGATTATCATTCAGCATCGATGCGTTGATTAGCAGGGAAGGAGGAAGTATAATCAAGTTTTGTCGACTATGTACTTTGAGCAGCTGACGATCAGAAAACCCATTTCATTCATTTACGACTCATCATTTATCAACGACACTATCGCCATCTCGGATTTATTAATCTCTACTTAAGTGTTATTATTTTTCGAAAACAGTTGTACCAAGTCCTCGGTTTATCTCATTTATCGACAATCAGCCCACTATCGATAGTTCTAATGTTGTATCATAGGTGAAAAGAGGAAAAAGCGACATTCGATGTGTGTTTTAAATGCCGCAATCGAAGGCAATTGCGCCGATTATAATGTGTTGTCCTATATACTGTTCAGAAATAAATTGAAAGCAAATCAATAAAAACAACATTCGACAAACAAACAACCCAAAATCTCAACAATCGCGATCGCGAGCAATCTGTATCGCGAATTTCATGATAATATTGAATATACGAGGATAATAATAATTCGATGAGGGATATCTGCTTATCGGTGATTATCGTTCAATCGGCGAGAAATATGCCAAGGAAGTTCTATTAATACTAGACGTAAGAAATAGAATTGCCGTGAGTAATGTGGAACAGGAAAGACGATGTTAAGGACTACCACGAAGCCACCACGAAAAATAAAAACCCCCTAACATCGCTGCACACGTTCTGCATTAAATCCGTCTGTCCGTTATTTTTATCCTGGATCTCGAAGTAAGCCATCCTGTCCTTTAACGGCTGATTTTCCTTTCCGTGCTCGACTCTTTAAAAAGTCTTTGGTAACTTAAGCCCGTCATTTACGAGGGTACCGAAGCCATTTGTCATTCGAGCTCGTTTTCTAAAAATGATCGCGATTCGCGCGCGACTGTTTTTCACGCGACGCCATTGCACGAGCCCGAGGCATCGTATACGTACAAACGCAATGATTTGTCATGGCGCCCAAGGTAAGTGCTTTCCACTGTCGATGACACTTAAATAATAAATAGTCCAAAACCGCTCTCTGAGCGTGCTAATAATACACTTCCATGAAGCGAGCTCGCACGGCCATTGGTAGAAAGGAACAGAGTGGGAGGGGGAGAGGAGTATTCGCGAGAGGCTGAAAAATTGGGCATGGAAATTTGCCGAACTTACGGGGTCCGGGCGAAATGCGACTAAATCTCTGGATCGTCGTTTTGATTGCAGTTTTGGGAGGTGATCTCGGAGGAGCACGGCATTGACCAGTCGGGCATTTATCACGGCGACAGCGACCTGCAACTCGAGAGGATCTCCGTCTACTACAACGAGGCCTCGGGTAAGTCATTCCAACACACGCACGCGAAACACCCATCATCCAGACCATCCCGTCCCATCCGACGGCGTCACCACTGCCGCCCCGGCACCGACCGTAACGTCCGACGATCCGCGATGCGACGGAGCCGTTATCGACGTGTCGCGCCCCACCTCGAGAATTGTTTCACCAGAAATAGGCTTTTAAGCGCGGGGGCCTCATTTTTTAGATACTTTAAAGGCTGCCAATGTCTAAGGAGGCTGCCGCCAGTGTGAGGCATCCTTACTCTAAAAACAGAGCGCGCGCGCAAGAGAGAGATAGAGATGGATAGATAGTTAGATAGAGATAGAGATAGAGAGATAGATAGATAGATAGAGAGAGAGAGAGAGAGAGAGAGAGTAAGAGAGAGGGGAAAGAACGCACCCCGAGGGGATTCCGAAAGCGAAATAAACTTCGCTCCATGGCGAGTAGGCGATCGACGGAAATAAACGCTTTGTAGGAGTTTCTTCTACTCGGTGAGGCTCGGGAGAGCGAGCGCCCGTCCCTTTTAGATCACAATTTTTGCGAGAGTCGTTGTCGTTGTCGTCGTCGTCGTCGTCGTCGTCGTCGTCGTCGTCGTCGTCGTCGTCGTCGTCGTCGTCGTCGTCGTCGTCGTCGTCGTCGTCGTCGTCGTCGTCGTCGTCGTCGTCGTCGTCGTCGTCGTCGTCGTCGTCGTCGTCGTCGTCGTCGTCGTCGTCGTCGTCGTCGTCGTCGTCGTCGTCGTCGTCGTCGTCGTCGTCGTCGTCGTCGTCGTCGTCGTCGTCGTCGTCGTCGTCGTCGTCGTCGTCGTCGTCGTCGTCGTCGTCGTCGTCGTCGTCGTCGTCGTCGTCGTCGTCGTCGTCGTCGTCGTCGTCGTCGTCGTCGTCGTCGTCGTCGTCGTCGTCGTCGTCGTCGTCGTCGTCGTCGTCGTCGTCGTCGTCGTCGTCGTCGTCGTCGTCGTCGTCGTCGTCGTCGTCGTCGTCGTCGTCGTCGTCGTCGTCGTCGTCGTCGTCGTCGTCGTCGTCGTCGTCGTCGTCGTCGTCGTCGTCGTCGTCGTCGTCGTCGTCGTCGTCGTCGTCGTCGTCGTCGTCGTCGTCGTCGTCGTCGTCGTCGTCGTCGTCGTCGTCGTCGTCGTCGTCGTCGTCGTCGTCGTCGTCGTCGTCGTCGTCGTCGTCGTCGTCGTCGTCGTCGTCGTCGTCGTCGTCGTCGTCGTCGTCGTCGTCGTCGTCGTCGTCGTCGTCGTCGTCGTCGTCGTCGTCGTCGTCGTCGTCGTCGTCGTCGTCGTCGTCGTCGTCGTCGTCGTCGTCGTCGTCGTCGTCGTCGTCGTCGTCGTCGTCGTCGTCGTCGTCGTCGTCGTCGTCGTCGTCGTCGTCGTCGTCGTTGTCGTCGTCGTCGTCGTCGTCGTTGTCGTCGTCGTCGTCGTCGCCGCCCCCGCCGCCGCTGCCGCCACATCGGGAGAGATTTACCGGATGGCCTGGACTTTGCAAAGTCACCCACGTGGGCCTACGTCGTAAATTACGTTTTCCTCGCTGCGGGCGTAACGACGCTTGGGCCCCCGGTTCGAGCCTCCTACTGCTCCTCCTCCTCCCCATCCACCTCCTTCCTTCTTCTTTATCGTCATCTTCGTCATCGTCATTCTCATCGTCATCATCATCCTCTTGTTCGCTTTGAACACGCGAGACAACTACTATACAGCCGACTTCTTTCTGAGTATTCGACGTAATCGGTTATAGGAGTGTGCGCTTGAATGCCACAGGCATGACTCTCGTCTATTTATTTTCCTCGTGTAAATTTATGGGCTTGAGGGTACGCTCGATTGAGGTGACAAGTAAATTTACCGGAATTCGCCGAGTTTTTGAAAATACATTGCCCCAACAACCGTTCACGCGAGCTTGCTTAACTTATGTCGTAGCTGCTTTTGTAATGCGCATCCCAACTCCCTTAGTTGTGTTTGGTATGGCAATTATGTATTATACTTTATATATTACGCCACTTTTCACGATCTATTAGATCTAAAGTTTTACGACAATTATTTGCAGAATTTTTGCAGAAATTTCAATGGAGAGACTTTTTTTTTGTTTTGTTTTTATTTTCTTTAAATAGATCCAACTAAGTATAGCCTATATTCCTATCGATTTAAATTTAACCGACGTACCGTTAAAGTTTGAATTACTGGAGCCTTCTTTTTCACGTATACATTCGATAGGAATTACGAATATCTTGCAAATCCGTCAATAAAGGCTTTCAATGTATCTTTCGACGAAGCTTAATCTCCTCATATTAATAGCAATGATTTATCTTGGAAAATACGTATATTATCTAAATAACCTCAAGAATGTCCTCTTTACCATTTAATATCATCTCACTGACACATTTAATACCGACTAAAAAACACGTCTGTAGCCATAAGTACACATATGTGTTTATGTATATATAAACTTGCCTAAGAATTATTTAAAACTAACCAAATTCCTTCTAAACTTAAATTCACTTGCCTTACGACTTTAAACTCTTCCTTTCAAAATATCGAAACATCTACATACGTAAAATTATTATTATACGCTGATTAATAATTCGATGAGTTGGACCATCGTTCAAATTCCACAATTTCGTAATTATGAGAAATTTTTGAGAAGTTGAATCGGAAATAGATGTTCGATTAATAAATATTATGAAGTATTTCAAAGTGGTCTTTATCGCTTATATAATCGATCGATTAACTTCAATAGATTTTTTGAATAATCAAAATATAATATCCTTTGATATTATTACGTCACTCGACGTTTAAAATGATTTGAAAATTCAGTTAAGTGGCACATCAATGATTTGATTTAAAATTCGCTTCAAATACACAAATCGGTTGAGAATTTTTTTAACAACGAACCGCATGCTAAAATAGCCGAACGAATACAACATTAACTGATTTATCAGAAAGCCAAGCAAGCTTAATTGTAATTGTCACTCGTACATCAATGCCAACGCCACTCATTATCTCGACAATTCCACTTACAAAGCGTATCGAGCACTTCAACATCATAATTGTTCATAATCACCTTCGCATTTTTTATTAAACAGTCGCAACATCGACAAATGGGGGCAAGTATGTGCCGCGGGCTATCCTCCTGGACTTGGAGCCCGGGACCATGGACGCTGTGCGCTCCGGAGCTTACGGCAAGCTATTCCGCCCGGACAACTTCGTTTTTGGCCAGTCGGGTGCCGGTAACAATTGGGCCAAGGGCCACTACACCGAGGGCGCCGAACTCGTCGACTCGGTCCTCGACGTCGTGCGCAAAGAGGCCGAGAGCTGTGACTGCCTCCAGGGCTTCCAGCTGACGCACTCGTTGGGAGGAGGAACCGGTTCCGGTATGGGTACGCTCCTCATTTCCAAAATCCGCGAGGAGTATCCGGACAGAATCATGAACACCTACTCGGTCGTCCCGTCGCCCAAGGTCTCCGACACCGTTGTCGAGCCCTACAACGCCACCCTCTCCGTCCACCAGCTGGTCGAGAATACTGACGAAACCTACTGCATTGACAACGAAGCATTATACGATATCTGCTTCAGAACACTCAAGGTATATATATTCTGTCTTTTATATTAATAAATTATTGTGCTTTATTCGTCGTGTTAGTTGCGACACGATGAAATCAATGGGTGATTAGTACGAGAGTATGAGTATTGAAATTTTGAAATCAGTATGATTAAAAAATTAAAGTCGATCGATCTACTGTCGGATTAGTAGGATATTAGCGGCATCTAAAGTCCAAATTTATGTATATGAGTCACTGACACACACAATAATGGATTCGTTCGACTGAAAAAGTGTTAAAAGAGTCATTTAATAATGGATAATGCATTGATAAGTGACGATTATTTCATATTCAAATCAATTGGTTTGGTGCATTAAACCATTAAAAGCTTCTTTTCTTCATTTATAGTTGTTGTGTGAGTGTGTGTGGATACAACATCTTGGACGAAATTAAATAGATATATGCACAATATTAATAATGTTGATTGATAAAGTGTTGCCGAAATTTAGTAAAATGTATAATAGTAAACATGGTGAAGTGTAATTTAAATTTAAACACAATCACGTAATAATATTTTCATAAGCTGGTAATTTATGAATTTACGTAATCGTTAAATAGATTGTGTCAATCTATTTATCCAATACAATATCCGATGATTTTTCGCATTGAAAAACGAATATATTGTTCTCCTACTCCTTATGTAATTATATAAAATCACAATGATTTCTATAATTGATCCTTCGTATCTAAATCCATATAAACTTTTAATAGTCAATCTGAATAAATTACCATCGTTGAAAGATCCTCGATTTAAACTAAATTCTTCAATGAAATCATCCATCACCATTAATACCCATAGTCCTTCGTGTATAATTAATCGAAACTTTCATCCTTAGGTCTCAAATCCATCATACGGCGATCTTAATCACCTGGTCTCGTTGACGATGTCGGGTGTAACGACGTGTCTACGCTTCCCTGGCCAGCTGAACGCCGACTTGCGCAAGCTCGCCGTGAACATGGTGCCCTTCCCCCGCCTTCACTTCTTCATGCCGGGCTTCGCACCCTTAACATCCCGCTCGATGCAGCAGTACTCCGCACTTTCCGTCCCCGAGCTCACCCAGCAGATGTTCGACGCCAAGAACATGATGGCGGCCTGCGATCCGCGACACGGGCGCTACTTGACGGTTGCCGCCGTCTTCCGTGGTCGCATGTCCATGAAGGAGGTCGACGAGCAGATGCTCAGCGTCCAGAACAAGAACAGCTCGTACTTCGTCGAGTGGATCCCGAACAACGTGAAGACCGCTGTATGCGACATCCCGCCGAAGGGTCTCAAGATGTCGTCGACCTTCATCGGCAACACCACTGCCATCCAGGAGCTGTTCAAACGCATCTCCGAGCAGTTCACCGCCATGTTCCGAAGGAAAGCTTTCTTGCATTGGTACACGGGGGAGGGCATGGACGAGATGGAATTCACCGAGGCCGAGTCGAACATGAACGATTTGGTGTCCGAATATCAACAGTACCAGGAGGCGACTACCGAGGAGGACTTTGAGACCGAGGATGCAGGCGATGATTTCGAGACGTGTGATCAGGAGTGAAGATCGCCGGCGGAGTCGATCAATGGCAGACGATTTCAGCGAAGAATTGGCAATGCCGACATTGCTGATTGATTGCCGACATCGTTTGTCTTACGTAAACATTAAGTGGGGTGGGGCGGGGGGAGGCACAGCGCTAAAAGTACTTTCGCTTACATCAGATGAACAACAGGCATTGAAATAAATTTTCATGGGCAATTATCCTTAATATGCTTTCAAGAGTATTAATGGCTTAATTGTTATTGACAAGCGAATTTGCCGTCTTTCAAAGCAATATAAATCTCACTCCGATTGTTAATGCAATTTTTATAAGATATACTCTTCGTTTTTATGATTTTACGGGAATTTAACTGTGCGTAGGCTCTTGCGTATTCTCAATGGTAATTGATGAAATTGCCCTGTAAATGTACGGGAAATCTATAGGAACGCGCAACACTTAACCGAAAATTTGAAAATTGTTGAGAAAATCGTTGAATTATGTTGGCTGGTTATTGCCTAAGAAAAGAGAATTCTCAGAACTTCATAAATCATTTTTCAATTAAACAGCGCCAAAGCATTATAAGTTGCCTTTTTCTATCAAATAAGATTTCATTATGCATCAACTGGCACTTCAAATTGAATACTTCGATTCAAATTCATATGTATCTACTGGCATTTACTAGTCGTACATTTAGGATTAAAATATTCACGAAGTCGAAATTTATAAGAATTGTATTAATATTGATTAAAAGCACTTGATAGAACAATACAGTGTTTTAATTGCAAATTAAATAAGACAAAACGTGTAGCCTCGGACTAATGTTGATATCAAATTATTCGTATAACGTTTTTGTATTCTTTTCTTTTTCTTCTTCTTTTTTCTTTTTTTTTTTCTTTTTTTTTTCATAAGCGTAATTCCATTGCTGTATTTTAATTTTTTTTTTTAGGATAACATAATCATTATAATTAGGTAAAAAAAAAAAAAAAAAAAAAAAATTTTTGTAACATTCATAGACACGCACATTAACTAATGTAATACTTGATTTAAGTGTGAAACTTTTCAAGCATCTTTCATATTTCTACTCATGATATTTTGTTAGAATAAGAAAAATATTATAAAATGTTGGATTAATAAATTTACAAATTAATTTATGTAAAAGTTAAATGTTTGATAATAATTTTAATATTTAAATGAACTATTTATCGCTTTTGCTAAGAGTAAAATTGGCTTTTTTGATGTTGTCATACCAAAGTATATTGGCCAAAAAGTGTTTTTTTTTTTTTATTTTTATATAACATGATTCACTTATTGTAGAATTCGATCGTATTATTTGATATTCATGAGTGCATAGACTGAAATGGTAGTTAAAATAACTAGTATTCTTGGAAAATTATTTGTATCATTAAAAATCGTCAAAGATGATAACCAATTGTGATTACCAAGGATAAAACTTAAATCAATCAATATTGTAAGCATTTAGTGCTTTGCGACCTTATGGAAGCGAAGCTTATTATTATTATTATCATTATTATTATTATTACTATTATCATTATTATTATTATTACTATTATTATTACTATTACTATTATTACTATTATTATTAATACTATTATTACTATTACTATTATTATTATTATTATTATTATTATTATTATTATTATTATACTATGAATGACGCTTAAAGGGCAAGAAAATGTGTGTAACGATGTAATAAAATTTATTGAAAATAATCATTACACTTTTTATTATATTTTCTCACATATATGTATATTTTCTTTTATTAATTTCTTATCCAAGTTATATGTTTATTAAAAAAAAAAAAAAAAAAAAAAAAAAAAAAAAAAAAAAAAAAAAAAAAAAAAATTATAAAATTTCACAACATTTTACTCGTTTCTTTAAATTTAGATTATATATCCTATAATTTGTATTCACACATTGACCTTTGCAACTTTTTGTAAGACATAGAGGTTTTTTTTACTTTTATTCAATTATAGTTGCATTACAAGCGTAAATTATCCAAATATCTTATTAAAATATATTTTTTATCAATTACAATACGGTTTTTAATTTTTAATGACTTTTCTCGTATGATATATTATTGATATTATAATGTCGCTAAAACATCCATTAAAAAATTCATCCACATTAACATGTTTTCATGTTGTGATTATTGTTATGATTAATGACTTGAACAATTCATTAATCATACAATGTACTCAATATTGCATGCAAAAAGTTTTAATAGGTATTAGTATTGTATGATAATAATCCGCATTCAGTTTTAAACAATATAAATTAATATCGATTAGCGGTTATCACTATATTAGACCTCAACAATACAGATTCTAAAAACATATTTTGAAGTATACAATTGAGAAAAAAATTGTTTAAGAATTTAAAAAAAAAAATCAAGGTCATTCCGAATCGAAGAAAATTAAAAGTTATATTATTTATATATTACGAATGTAAAATCTTCTTTAAATTTCAAGTAAAAATTAAATTAGCTACGTTTAATAAGATAATAAATATATATTTACTTTCGATTTAGATTTTTATTGTGGAATTTAATACTACAATAGCTTTATTCTTATTTAGCTTTTATGCTTTTATTTTCTCAATTAATCCATCAATTTTTTGAACAATAATTATAAGGATATAATGACATACAGTTCCCTCTATATTTACCAAATAGCCGAGATAAATTAAATACATTCACTGTTATATTGTGAAGTTGTTTACAACATATCGGAACGAAAAAGATGAAATTATAATTTTATGTCGTATAGATTATCTTTAAATGAGCTCCAAGTATGCTAACTATCCGATTAAATTCTGCGAAACATTTTTTTCAACTTAGAGACTAACGATGAATGTACAGTTAACAAGGATTTATTATTCTTGTGTTATTAGTCCAAACGATTCATCCGAGCATTGCACATATTATTATTTGAATAAATTAAAAAATCTACTTTGAGCACATTTTCAAAGCAATTTATACATCTACATCTATTTTTCAAGTTTTTAATATTCAATATTTTTACGACTTTTAAGAGACACAGGAATAAATATATTTCATTGTTTCTCCATTTATCATATATACAATATACAACAATAACTATTGTATTAATGCAATAAGAAAACAAAATTTGTTTACACAGCTATTCATGATTATTATAATCAATATCTACATTAGCTTTCCATTATCCTTAATAATCATTGCATATAACAAAATTATATCTATCGTATAATGATATTAACTATTAATACGTACTTTAATTGCTTATCAATTCATGCCATTGATTATGTTCAATTGTCTATCTTTGCTGTAGATATTAATCATCTCGAAATTAGTGTTATCTATCTTCAATTTCTTAAACAAGTGGCGAAAAAGCTATTGACTATCAACTATCTAGACGAATTAGCCTAGATATAATCGACGGGATCTAATTTTATGTATTTTATTGTTGACTGTTGTTTTTATAATTTTCTTCTTCCGAATATTGACATTTACACGATGGTTACATAAGAATTGTCGTTAAGAGTGGCAAGTTTCATCGGCAAGTTTCAATGCCATTTTCTTTCCTACCTATGAAAATCAATCCTTAACGAAAACTTTAAACGTACGACTTTAATATTCTTTTTTTTATTTCTTTTAATTAACATTATTATTACTATTATTATTACTATTGTTATTATTATTATTATTATTATTATTATTAATTCTTTCTTTCAACAATTAGTATATCTAATTTAGATTTCAGTATGTTGAAAATATGGATAATAAAAATAATTTATTTCTTCTTAATTGAATATTCTTATAAACGTAATCTTAATAAATGTTATATTAATATTATATTATAAATGTTAACAAATACATTTATTTCAATTTTAAACAATCAATAAAAAATTCAAAATTTCAACTTCGGAAAAATATTTATTGTTTCTTTATCTGTTTTTTAATTGTAAGACATTTTTCCATCCAAAGTTATTCTATTAAAAATTAGAATGAGAAAAGTTAATCAATAGTTATCAGTCATTCCTTAAGCACTTTAGTTTTAATTGAACATTTCATTTCGTTGACAACATGTTAATAATGATTAATACATTAATTGACAAATAAATTTAGTACAGTCATTGTGTACTGTTTTGCCTACTATATTTACAATTAATGTTTTAATATTAATTAAACGTTGCTTGAAATATTTCACAACTGATTTTTAAATGATATTTAATAAACAGTATCAACATGAATTTTATATATGTTTTTTCAATTTAAGATAATCACTTTTTATTTCATTTTTACATTCTCCGCAATGTTAAAATTTATACAGATTATATGTAGCGCAATATATTGTTTGAATAATATTTATTCGAAAATATTATTCTTTAATCGTTCCTTTTTGGAAAAATGCACTAATATTGGGTAAAATTTTAAATATTCAATTAAATCTAAGTATTGCTTATTTTCAATACGTTAAATTTCTATTAAATGTTAAAAATAATGCCCATTTTAAGTACTTTTTCCTTAAAAGTTGATCATACGTATATATATATATATATATATATATATATATTTTGTTTTTTATTGAATAAAAATAAGATAATATTTTATCTGTACAAAAATAATATTTTTGAGCGTTAAATATCTCCGATTTCAATTCATCAAATTATCACCCTTATATTATCCTTTCTTATCATTTTTTTTTTTATTTCATTCATTTAATTAAATATATTTAAAATCTATACAATAGCAGGTAAGCAGCAGCCAAATATGAAGATAACGACAAATAAAAATATTAAATTACAATGCATTAAATGTTAAAGAAATATAATTCGTGCGTTCACGATATACTGATGTTAAATTACAAAGAAATTCATACAAAATTTAGGGTAATTGGAATTCCAATGATGTACAATATTTTTCGCTTGAAAATAATAAATTATAAAAGTTAATAAAAATATTAAAATATATTAACATAGTGCACATTTTACACATACACTTCCTATATGCTAAAAGTTTCTATATATTCAAAAATTTTATAATTAAAACAGAACGTCCACGTTAACAATATAATTATACTATATTGAAACTTTAAAAAAAACATACATACATACGTACACATACACACATACGTACATACAGATATATGTATGTATATTTTTTTGTAATAATAGAATTGTAAATTAGAAAGATATAATTTACTTGTTCCATATATTGTTTAAGAGTATGTCAACTATATTGAAGACTATCATATCATACATGAATTATGCTCTTAATATTAGTTTATTTTATATAAATAAAATAATTTTACAAACTCTTAGTTTTAACAGTACATAAATGTAATTTTAGAATGTTAGTGGTTCGTATCTATCGATTTAATACATTTTTTTTATTTTCACTTCTTTTAACAATAACATGTAGTGTATCCTCTATTCTATAGAAGATTTATAAATTATTTTATACATCCAGCGTATGGTTAATGAAAATTTTTTGAAACATCATTTTAAATAATCTCTCTTCTCAAGCATAACGCATTACGGACGAAAACAGAAATATCGATCATCTGTACATTAATTAATGCCAATTGTGCATTAAACATCGAACACGTATTTTTTACAGAAACGATCGAGTTAATAATAGTCGCGATCTTGCTGGCAATCACTTCCGGTCGGCACCACAAATATATCGGATAAATCAACGAAAATTACTCATCCATAAGCATCGCTGACAAACGTAATTTATATATATATATATATATATATATATAAAGATAAAGGATTAAAAATAAGAGACGTCCCACCCTACTTTCCGTCGGCTTTCAAGCTTGCTTATCTTCTTCTACCCCTCATTTTTCGCTACGTATCCCGACGACGGTGGAGCGCACAGGGCCCTCGACGACGATGGCGCGTCGGCGCTCGACCCTCGGCACCGTTCGGCTTAAGTTTACCTCCTCGTTGCTTGAACCGTGTGACAAGCAGCTCCGACTCTCCAACAAGTGGCTCTCGTTGTTGGTGCCATTCCTGGTGCTGCCGCTACTGGAGCTACTGCTGGGGCTGCTACAGGGGCTGATGCCGGATCCGAGGACTGGGGCGACCGATGGGACCTCGGCGCCGTCTCCCGAGCTCGAGGTCCGACGCTCGAGACCTCCGTTGGCCAGGTACTTTAGCGGCATGTGCTCCGACTCCTCGCGCTTCTTTGTCCTGCGAACAACGTTAACATTATCTGCTGCGTTGTATTTTCAAGTTTTGTTTTTTTTTTTTTTTTTTTTTTTTTTTTTCCCTTTTTTCAATGGAGCGATGGATTTTGTTTTGTAAATTCATCCAGAAGAGAGGAGGTTTGCTGTATTATTAAGTCGTGCCCTATTGTGATTAAATGTTTTGCATTTGATACTTTGGATATTGAATACGTAACGATATTTTGCGTATCAATGTTCAAATTAACGATTTGGTCCCAAGTTTCAAATAAAATAAAATCTACCCTCCAAATCGAACAATTTAGCTTATTTACTCTTTTATAAGTGTGTGCGCATAATACTAATTCTACACATATAATTTTACGCACGCTATTTCACTTCATTTGCAATGTATTATATACCGAATGAAAATTTGACTAATATTGTATCAATAAGAATATTAAGATTTTTTTTTACAGATATTTGTTACATTAATAATAATAAGTTTGTAAAGACAAAAATCTCATAAAGTAAGACTATTATTAACGTAGGCTTAGAAAAACTTATCAATTCTGATAAATAATGAATAGATTTCAATTTTTTTCTCTTCTTTTATCAATTTTATCAAAGAAAAACATTAATTTAATAGGAATGCAATATCCAATTAAAATAATAATTGTTTTTATATATTGTAAAAGTCAGTATTTGAATTGTACAATTTAGAGAATTATATAAGTAATATATTATTAAAATATAAACGATACAATTACTCCGTAAAATATACTAAAATATATAAAAATTGTATTTAAATTATATTTCATGTTACATTTTACGTGTGACAAGACGATTGTAACAATCATTGTATTGTATCATTGCTCTTAACAAGTACATTTGGTATTGTAAATGGTTAAGTAGATAAAATTGTCGCATTTCGACTCATGCTTATTCTTATTTAAAGAAATTGATTATTTTAATGAAATACTAGAGAAAAGAGTTCTTTGTTTGAATGATTTGACGATTCAAATTTTTAAAAGGCTTGACATTTCAACAAATCGTTAAGAAAGAAAAGTGCTGTAGAAAGTATTTTTTATGGTAGGAACAAAGGCATTAGTAAATTAGTAAAAATTAGAGAATTAAGTTATTTGAAAAGTAAGGAGGTAATTTCAAACAATTACAAATATGAATGATGAAAGTATAATGGTGAAAGTAATGAGCGTGATTTAAATAGCTTTGCAGCTTTAATTTCATAATATAAGCTCTAGGCTGCCGTGTTTTAAGTAGTTTTGTCATTGCTTTGAGAGAAATTAATTCATAACGTTTGAGAAAGCACAAATGAAATAGGGATTAAGAGATCTCTTTTTCCAATTAATACGCAAACACTTTAGTTGACGCTCGTCTTATTTGTAAGATTCTAGTTCATAAATGAAATAATTCCTATTGGGAATTCATTAGGATTGTGCTTATCTCAGATTCGAGCGTTGAAAAATCTTGTCATTAAAATAAATGCTGACAAATTGTATTTACAACCATCATAAAATATATCTGTATGCAAATAGTAAAGATTGGCTAGTATGCGGATGTTTTATGTCATGTTTACGCGTACGTGCGTATTATTACGATCGTGACTAAATAGAATCTAAGTGACAAAGGCGAAGACTTTTTTTAGCTATTGCTCGTGCACGAATAAGCGCATATGTGTGCATCGGTGAATACATGCGTCTGCATATATAAATAAATTTAAAGCTTTTACGGCAGAGCGCTCAGTGTAAAATAATTTAACCGTAAGTCATTTAAGTTTCGATGAAAAAAATTTCAGGAAAGTTAAAAATATCGATAATACGAGAATTACGAGAGAATAAGACAAATAATAATAACAAGGGTTTTCCATTATTTTTTTTTTTTTTTTTTTTTTTTTTTTTTTTTTTTTGCAGTCCTATGACAGATTATCCGTTAATTCAGTTAATATTTCTTCGAATTTAGTAAATAAAAATTTGTTGAACTCCGCCCCCATTTTAACGCCCTTGTCAAGTAATCGTAAGGAAAACATTAACGTTATGTGAAGTATAGATGCATGTAAGCTGTAACGAATGCTAAAAATGACATTTATGCAGCAACGTATCTAGCTAACAAATAATTTTCTTGCAAAAGAAAATTATTTACAATGATAGTGACCGCAACACCCTTAATACTCAATTCCGAACGAATTTCTAGCAACTCTTTAATTCTGTGAAATAATCAGGCCACCGGAATATGCGGTAAAATGTCATGTACAACGACTAGGCAATGTCGCTGTGTGCGTGATCCATATGGCGATGCGCAAATCGCTCTTAAAACTTCGCCAATTCATGACAATGTCGGACTTACTTGGCGGGCAAGGTTGGGCACGACCAGAGCTTGAAGTCCGCGCCAAAAAGCTCGCCCTCCTCGATCGTTTGAGGGAGATGGATGTTGAGAGTCTCGGGCAGGAATATGGAGGTGATGGCCCCGGCGACGCTGAGTGAGCCCATGACGATGAGGGGCAGCACCCTCCAGTAGACCGCCAGGTGGACGATGTAGGGGAAGGTGAGGAGACCGATGCCGGCGATGAAAGAGGCGATACCCATCGCCTGCGACCTCAACACCGTCGGTAGCAGCTCCCCGACGAACACGTAAAAGACGGCGAAGGACGCGGCGATGCCGAACTTGCCGACCATCGCCAGCGATACCGTCACCCACACAGCATCTGTCGTGTTAGTCGCATTATTTCTCCTATTTTTCGATCGAGGACTATCGTTATTGCACGAAACTATCTATATTTGTTTGTTCGATTATTGCCCGTTGCTGGACGGATTTAGTGGATCGTTGTTTTGTCTTATTATCGGCAAATGTGCGAGCGAAGCGACGAAATGTTAAAATCTTTATGATCTACACGAAGAAATACTATTATACATTTGACATTGTGGATGTCTTAAAAGAAAGAAAAAAAAAGAAAGGTAATTACCTAGTTTTATGGGAAATGCAATGGATGGGCAATCGGTGACGATATTATAAAATATTAAATTTTGGAGAAACGATTGTACAATGAAATATAAAATTCTCTTAAAAATTTGGGTGAATTTTTATTTTAAGCACTTGTATATAAATTATCGATTTTCGTATTCCTTTTTTTTTTTCAACTTTACCTTGTCGTTGATTTTAAAAACAAAAGAAAAAACAAATTACTTTGATCGTTTGGATGTAAATTTGGCTTCATATCGTCATTATCTTAGGCACTCGATTACTTAAATGGCCTGATAATTAATTTTGGCATTCCCATGTAACTAATCATTACGATATTCAAGCAATACGCGAGCTCAGCTCAAATCCATCGGTAATTATTAATATCAAGTCCTAGAAAATTAATAAAATTTATAATTGTAAACGTTCAAACCTTCGGGAACGAACATGCAGGAGACACAAGCAACTCCACCAAGAAGCATCGTCATGCACAGGACCCATCGCCTTCCTAATCTATCCATAGCATACCAAGTAACAATATACGATGGGATTTCAACTACTCCGCCTGTTTCAAGCAAATTAATAAAGTAGATTAAAGAGCAATAACTTTTTTAAAAAATTTTCGTAAATTGTTGCTTATTGTAAATAATACTGCAACTTTACACTTAAGTTCTCATAATAGTTTGGTTATAACAGTTTGATATATCTTTATGTTGTACAAGTTCGAAGGAAAATCTTTTCTAGCTTAGCCATAAATTGTTTTTACTTATTTATGTATTATATAATTATGTTTATTTATAGTAATACATTTAATTTATTTATCTTCATGTCCAATATAAGATTTTAATGCCTTTTAAAAATGATCAAATTTTATAAATAGACGATAAATTTTATATATTAATTAATCATAATTCTTTGATTATCTTAAATTATCGATAAATCAATAACATCATTAAACGTCAATATAAGTAAATCCATAAATTCATGTTTTTCGTTCGATTTAGTCATCGTTGCTACTTCAATTCGAAATTATTTTTCAATGCACGAAACAATAATAATGAAATTGAGGATATTTTTGTATGGCCATTATTATTTTAGACATTTCCCTCGATCGTTTTCAATTGACTATATTATGTAAGAATAGAGTAGCATTTTGCATAATCCATTGACAATTAAACGGTATTCATTATGTTGTATAACTTGCAGCTTACTCTTATCGAGTTATGTATTTGATCATCGTAAGAACGTTTTGCAATCAATTGCCTCTCATTTGTTTAAAGGCATAATAAATATTTGAAATAACATATAGATTAATTTAATCATAAAATAATAATATTAGATTTCAGAATTATTTAATGAAAAGAATAAAGTAAAACAGAATAAAACAATCCTTATTTACTGATTAATTCAATTAGTTATTACTATTAATTATTTCTGTATTTAAGTTTATGATCAATTGTGCAATATAAGCGATATTTTTTTTTATCTAATATAATAACTTTAGTAAATTAAATGTTCATCTGTACTATATATTTCTTAACGGATATTTAACATTATAAAAACGTCAAAATATAAAAAATTTTAACTTTCTTCCCTGTAACTTAAAAGAAAGTAGACAAATTTGTATGAAACTGTATATCGTTTTATTGTGTTATTTTTATTTTCGAACATATTATTATTGAAAATGCTATCTCAGATTATTAATGAGAGCTATTACTATATGAAAGAAAAATATCGTTATCTTATTGCAAATCGTAAATCGATCGATTTTTCGACACAAACTTATTCGAGAATTACATTAAATTTCTCCACAACTTAAAAGAATAAATAAAAAAAAAAGAAAATAAATAAATAAAAAAAAAAAAGAAATTAATATAAGCCTGCAATTAAGAATATTTATAACATTATATAATTTTACAGAGAGGCTATTTGAATTAATTTTTTTATTTTGTAATTTAGCAAAAGTTGACGTTAGCAAAGTTAACTTGCTTAAAAAAGTCGCTTATCGCATATTCTTATCATTAATTTAAAAATGCATACGATCATCAATCACGAGGTGTTTAGTAAGACTATAAAAATTGAAATAATGAAAGATCATCGTGATAATACTTGCCTATGAAAAAAGCGAGATAATCTGAAACTCCAAGATTCGTTGTGTTGTAAGAAAGTCCATTGTAGACGACGGCATTTGCAACCCAGTCGAAAGCCAGAATGAAAAACTTTTTTCGAATATTTGGATTTCTTAGTAAATCCATGGGCGTCGCCGAGATCGATTGTACCCTGTTTTCCGACTCGAGATCCACTGCTGTTAATTCGCCGGAATTTCTGCCGTTGCAAGCGATTCCTTGTCTTCGCATTATTTCAAGCTGAAACATTTATATTACAGCATCCGAGGTTTTGATAGAATTCGTTGTTTCTAATGTCATTCCGATGTGGTTTCATATTTCTTTTTTTTCTTCTGTATATGTGTATATATATATATATATATATATATATATATATATATATATATATATAGAGAAAAGAGCTAATGTTGCTTATAAGCCGAAGGTGCTGCATCAACCCCGTAGTAAAATTACAGGTTATTAATTTCCTTACCAATAAATAAATAACACATTTTATTTGTTCTTATCGCGCTACACAAAAATCGCGCATCATCAAAATGATTATCAACGATTAAATGTTTTATAAGCCAAATATCGCAGTATAAATATTTACCTCCATTGTCCGAAGAAAATTTGGAGGCACCGGTTTACCATTGATTCTAGCCATTGTTTGTACAATTACTTCCGCCTCGTCGATTCTGTTTTTACTAAGTAACCATCTTGGTGATTCTGGGATAATCCAATAATAACTAAATAGTAAGACGAATGGTACGGAAATAGCCAGCGAAAGTGTATACCAATTCCTTAGCAAGTAACTCTACATTTAATAAGACAAATAAACGTTCGTATAATAAACATTAACATTATCGTGCATAAACGGTAAACGATATCGGCGATTTTCAATAAAAATCCTATGCATTTTAATTTCTCGCTGTTTAATAATCTTATACTTGCATTACAATTTCATAATTTTAGCATTATTTTAATAATATCAGGCTAACGACGATGGTAAGAAATAAATAATGCAATTCGCGTTAAATGTAAGCCAATGGCCTCTCAATAGAAAAGCACTTAATTATTGGCATTCGATTAGTAAAAAAAAAAAAAAAAAAAAAAAAAAAATTTACTTTATTGAAAGGATGTTCGTGTGGCTCTAATGCATATATCATTTACGGATAAAACCTTGTGATTTTCACTTACTAAAAGCGCCAGCAATGACATGGCTGTAGCAAAAAAAATACATATCACCATACCAGCGAATGTCCTGTACCTCGGACCCATTAGCTCAAGGGCTAAAAAACAAAAAAAAAAAAAAGAAAAGAAAACAATGGAAGTTTTGAGTAAAAATTGAGAGGGAGCAGTATGAAAAAAATGCCAATTATAAATACGTAAACAATATGGATATTGCATAATCTGTGGAACATATAGATATATAGCTCGATGGATATTTCTTATGCACTTACCCAGAATGAAAGGTATCTGATAAATGGCAGGAAAAAATAGACCGTTAATGGTCCTTAACGCGGTGTACACGACATAATTCGGACTGAAACTTGTTGCTATTGAGAATATAACCTCGAGGAAGATGATCGCTAAAAATGCCGTCCTCCTGCCCCATTTGTCGGCTATCCAGCCGAATACGACGTTGCCGAAGAGGCTGCCCACAAAGAAGAAGGTTGTCGATGTCGAAGGCCACCAACTGTTGTCGCATACGAGATCTAGCTATGTAAATGTAGAATGCAATTACAATGTCAGCGTATTATGTAGATATTTATTTTGGAAAATACCCGTGCGACTCTTTTGTCTCTCTTAATGTCGTTATCATGGGAATGCTGGGAGAGGTTGCAACGCTGCCCGAGAAGTCAATTTCCATCGCTTTCCATCGCTCGCTTCACTTCAATTACTTATTTCTTCCGTGATTTATAATAAGTACGAGATAGGGAGATAGAGATACGAGATATTTTAACACCGTACGCGGCTAAAGCTTTTCGACCACCAACCACTAATGAAGTCTCCTTTTTTAATTACACGGGGATTATAATACTGCGAGAGATTCTTTCGGATGCACGAAACTTTGGGAATTCGGAGCGAACAAGAAAAAGCGCGTAAATAAATTTTACATAATCATTAATCAAATAGCTAAAGTATGTGTATATTAAGTGCATACAATGAAAACTTATCAATTATCATTATAATGGCCTATATGCGTTGTGTAAAGGACTAAGGAATTCTGTGTGTCGATATAACACGTTTTAATATCTGATATTCTAATGAAAACTTGGCATAGTCCGTCTTCTGATGTAGTATAATGTCAATTATGTAATCCGTTGTCATTGTAAAATGTGCATAATATGATTTTTAGTAAATTGACAATAAGCTAATTGTTATAATAGACCGTATAATAATACGGTGACAATGATAAACAAAAAACGATCTTATTTATAAGGAAAATTCTTTGGCGAGTGTTATGAGTTTCGTAAAATGGCATGGTAAATGAATGGTGGCAATTGAACTGATTTATTAGTCGAAAATCGAGTTAATTTCAGCAAATCAAACGCTCGCAATATTCATCTGCAATGTAGGAAACATTGAGTTAGGCCAATTACTCATTTTCGTCGGGCGAATCGCGTTAAAAGGACGTTAATCGGACATATCTGACACGTCGGAATAAAATACGTCCGGCTTGAGGCTCGCGTTTGTGTGAAACGTCCGACATGGGATTCGAGCATTAGTTCGCACACACGTATTTGATTAGCAAGGAACTTAATTTTCCATCTTTTTGTCTACAATTGATTTTCGGATAAAAATTGCATTGCGTAGCAGTTGATTTCAATTATTCGGATCGGATTAATCATGATTTCCATCGATACAGTGAATACGTAATATTATTTACCATGATAATAACAATATTGAATTGAAAAAAGGCTCGCATTGCAATCTAATTTATTATGCTAACATACCCGATGGAACTTCATACTTTGATTTATCATCGACGCACCGAAATTACAACATCGTTAGGTAATTTAAAATCAATATTTTTTAATTAACTTCAATACGAATGATACGAAGCTCTTGATTATATGTTTGATCTTATAATTTTTCTTATTAATGTTACAGGACTACATTTTCATGTTATTAAAGCAGGGAACATTTATAAATCAGTGGGAACAAAACTTATCGAAAAGTGCGTCACGAATGAACGAAAAAACGTTATATTTCGTTAATTTCAAGTTTGTAAAGGGGGAGGCGCGGATCGAAATAACCGTATAATGTATTTGAGAGGATGTTGTTGAGTAAGTTAGAAAGTGAGTAAGCAGACCTAGAGAGCTCAAGCTCAGCTTATAATCGCCGCCGCGTATTTAATTAAATCTCACAGCCTTGATAATACGAAGTTCATTCTCATGTTTTTGCAAGCAGAATCCATAATCAGCTCAGCACTTGCCTACCTTTGAGTCGCATTAATGCAAAAGTAATTTCATTAGTACATTATATCATTACGATGTGAAGCGAAGGCCACTTTCCCGCCGAAATCAGCAGTGCCGAACTCAGCGAATCACGATTGATTTAAAACACGAACATTCGTTATGTGGGAGCGAGTAGGACGATTAAAAGCAACCGCGACGTATAAATGATCCAAGTTCGTGAGCATTGGGCTTCTGTGTTTGTTGGCTAATGCAAATAATCCATCGACCGTATTCTTCGGACGTATGTTACGAGGCCTCGTTTAACGTTAAATAACCAAAGTAAAACAGGCCAATGTGCGATGGCTGCTCGATTGCGGACTCACGGGGTGTATCGCTGCTCTGATAATAATCCAGTCGAATTCCGGACCGCTGCTACTGCAGTTTCCCGGCGCGTCGCTTTGTTGAGCGCACGTGTTAGTGACGGAGGAGTGTGCGTTACGAGTGTGTGGCGTAACTAGGGTAAATGGCCTAATAAGTGGCCTCATCGACAATCGAGCGGACATTGCTACGTGTGCCTGCCTCAACGGCCAAGGATTTCCCTCGCTCGTAAGGATCATTTTCCCCTCGGTCAAACATTCGGCTATTACTTGTAGTTTTTGAGCAGCGGCTCAACGTATGTGTGTCACCGATGGATTATCGATAGGTTATCTACTCTGATTTTATTTCGAATGAGCTCCTATGATAATTTAATCCTCCCATTCGCGTATTCTTATATTATACATAGAGTTTCTTTTTGTTTTTAATTAACTTGTAAACACGTAGAAATTCTTAATACGCATAGGCTGAAGAAATTGAAAAAAAAAAAAAAAAAAATTAATTTTTGTAAAATAACAAATTTTTTATAGAAAATGGATTTTCTTAATTGTTGGAATATTGCCGCGTTATCTCGACAAAATAATGTATGAACAAGAATTCCAATTAAATATTTCAATTTCTTCGGCAAAACGTACGTTTTACGACTTCCTCTAGAAGAATTTAAAGGTGTTAAAAGTATTTTAGAAAAAATAACACTCAATGTCTTTGAAAATACGGAAAGAGGTAGCGCTCGTTAAATTGCTTTAAAACAAAATTGTGTTTCAGTATGATTCTAAATAAAACAAATGCGCGAATAAACAAAGACATTTATTTATCAATTAATAAAAAATTTCGTTCTATCGAGCACAATATTTTATGTTTATATTTTATGCTTTATTTGTGTAAAAAAATTTTCACCGTAATTTCAAATTTAGAGTGCTTGCTACGTGAAAAGATGAAAAGCTTAATTATATTTATTATTTGTAAAATTTGCAATAATTATCTAGATAATGAAATTCGACGCTTACAGTGCATTTATTACTGACACTGACGCGTAAGAGTATGAAAAACTTGTGCTTTTATGAATTTACATTAACGAACTTGTCCATGTTGTTTATCTCCGTATGAATTTCTTATCGAATAACAAAATTCCATGATATGCAAACGATAAATCTACGCGATCGAATTGAAACGTTCACGAGGAAAATATTTAATGGAATAATTTTCATTTTGGAGGCAAAGTACAGGATATGATGGTCTATAATACATCGTTGAAGAATTTGTCAAGAGGCTAGACGACACTTGACATGGTTTGTAATATTCCATATTGATAAATGCAGCGCTCTTAAAAACATGTGGTTTGCGACTATTAATATCGAATTGAAATACTAAAATGATTTTATAAAGACCAACAAATCGGAACTGAAGAAGACCGAACGCTCGTTTTCGGTTTGCCTAAAATAAGTTGAAGATTTCGTAACCCCAAGATTATTCGCATACTCACCTACTTTTTCCATCGCGATCGAAGGCAATAAATTTCAAAACTTAAAACGTTTACATCTTAAAGTTAAAATACCTAAATGATAAAATAATGAAAAGTAAATACGAGAAGATTTTATTCAAATTACTTGGAATTCAAAATAATAGCTTGAAAATAATAATATACGGAAAAAGTATAAGCTACTCTCGATTGACAAAAAAATTTTTTAAATAACGAATTATTTTTCGATAATTGTCTCGTTTAAAATAAGTTAGCTATGCTTGTCCTTTTTGTATAAAAATTTATTCTTAAAATTTACGTATTCTTAGATAACTTTTTGTAAATAACAAGTTCTACAAGAAATTGAAACATGTTCCAACTATCAAAGAAAATTATTTTTTTTTAGTTTGAAAACATCATTTTATATAAATAATGGTTGCTATATATAACATTTTTGCTCACTATTATAATATTAATTTTAACCGGATAATATTTTCTAAAAAATAGTAATATATATGTGGAGAGAGAGAGAGAGAGAGAGAGAGAGAGAGAGAGAGAGAGAGAGAGAGAGAAAATAGTTTATGATGCTTTCAAATTTATCGTCTCAAATATGAAAAATAACCTAATTATTTAAAATCAAACAACAACATTTCATTAATAAATATAATACATTTTTTCATCCACTTTTATAATTCAAATAAAATTGTAATTGAATAAAATTCACTGTAGATCTACTATTAGATACGATGCTTTACAACGAATTTAAGAAATGTGATGCTGGCTAAATGATGGTCTAAACAATCTGATTTATATAAGAAGCTAACTTGTAAGTATAAATGTATATAACTTATACATATAAATATGCATGCGTGTGTGTACAGAGCTCATGCTCCATGGTCGAACGGCACGAGCTGATGTGAGTATTACGGGTATCGTATAAATGCCTCGGAATTAAATAAATAAAAGTAGCTCGATAAACGAGTAGCTATTTGAAAATGTCGACGAGGAGCTGGCAATCGAATGGAAATTGTCAATAAAACTCCTAAAAATAATAAGATGTAGTTGTGCATTAGGTAGACGGTGCTTCAATAGCGAACGTTCGAGAAGAGGACGAGCGGAGAAAAAATGGAGTGGCTTGACAGTGTGTGAGCGAGCGTGCGAGCGAGTCAGAAATAGAGAGCGTCAATGTCCGTCTCGGTGTTTGCGCGTGGCTCCCACAGCGAGGTGTCCATCACCCTCGATTGACAGGAGGAACGTGCCCCCCTTTCTCTCCAAGAGCCCCTTAGTCCATCCCTCCCCGTCCCTTGCGAGCTTTTGCAAGCGCTGCTGCGAACCAAGCCAACGAATCGCGCGTCTTTCCTGCCTCGTCCTCGGCCGTTTCACCCAACACTTTCGGCGGCTATTCATCATTGACGCTCATTCTCCTCCTCCTCCTCCTCATTTTCCTCCTCCTCCTCCTTTTCCTCCTCATCCTCCTCCTCATC